GAAGGAGTAATTGATGAAAGTGTTCGTCATTTTCTTCACACAACTGCGCAAATAACCGCGTGTTCAACGCGTTGCTTTGGATTCGGTTTACTGCATCAATGACTAAATGAAGTGATTCATGCAATCTAACACTCAAATTTTTAGCAACTAAATGTTGTCGATGGATGACGCAATGTATTGCTAACATCCCTGACACATTTTATTTTAAATAGCTTATAAATCCACGATAACGTCCAACCATGGCAGGTGCTCCATCTGTAGCTACTGATTGCTTTTTCAATGAAGTAATCCTTCAAAACACGAAATATTGATTCACCTTTAGTGTCGGTTATCAAAGTTCTTGCGAAGAGCAGTTCTTCGTAGATTTCTTGATTCATAATAAAACGAATTATACATAATAAATTGAAAAAGTTATGAAAGAAACTGATAAAAAAATTTGGGATGCGCAAGCGGGATTTAGAAAGGGAATGGGGTGTACAGATCAAGTCTTTTCCATGCGCATGATCGCGGAGAAGTTTTTGGCGAAAAACCAAAAAAGTTTTTTGTGCGTTCATGGACTTGGAAAAAGGCTTATGACAGAGTGGACAGGGAGGTGTTATGGCAAACGCTGAACGCATTTAGGTTGAGCGCTGGTTTGATACAGGCATTAAAATCTCTGTATAGGGACTCGAGTGCTTGTGTTAGAATCAACGGGGTCTACTCGGACTGATTTGGCATCCATAAAGGTGTCAGACAGGGCTGTGTAGCTTTCCCGTGGCTGTTCAACCTATTCTACATCTATTGAATAAAACTAAATTTACGGATTTTATCGCGTTTATTTCATTACTTTTACTTATTTTTAATTCCCGACGTTTCGGGTGCTTTACAGCAACCATGGTCACGGGGGGGGACTGCATCATTCTACATCTATCCTCGATTACGAATCAAAATGCAGATGCGTTGTCATTCGTGAGGACTTAGTTGGAATGCCTCGTTTCCAGTAAAACGGGTCTCCGGTTCTCTACACTCACCATACGAAACACAGCAGCATTAAGGTACTATTTGACGGCTGGTATTCTGTGAGAGCGTGGTCCTTTCCCAGTCTAGTCGACCCATTCGTGCTACAATTATTTATTTATTTATTTTATTATATTCAATAGATATTCAAGGTTTGAATATCTGTTGAAAATTTTACACAGTTTTTGTGAGTGTGAACGCCACCATCAAAAAACATGTTGTGTGATTTATTTTATGCGATTTGTTTCAAAACATTACGTGTTGGATGTTTCTCAATCTCAGTGCAAACGTACTGTTGGAAGAAATGTTTGTCTTGCCTAACAAACAAATATTATTGACCAAATAATAATTTCGCATACTCTAGTAAAAAGTTCCTTATCTTATATGAATACAGGGTAGGTGCTCACTTAATTCATAACTATTTGAATAAAGTTTATATGAAAAGTAACTTGAAAAGTAAAGTATTAAGCACTTAAATATGATTCCTATGGTTAATTTTCCTATGATTAATTTCCATAATTTGCTTTATTTAATGAACAATAAATATTGCTCTGTTATGTAAAATACTCTAATTTGTTTATATATCTTATTGTGCCTTTAATTTAATCCTAAGATTACGTGTGTATGTATATGATGTTGGTGTGCTTTAGTAAAAATAAATATTTATGTACTATGATTGCTTTAATAGGTAATATTATAAAGTTATTTCCCTATATAATGCATTCTTGTCTTTATCGATAAAATAAGAACATCACTAAACATCGATATCGATGATTTGAAGGATGTGTGCTTGCAAACACTATACATGCTTTATATGCATTATGTGCATAAGCGACTCACAAAGGTCGTGAGTTCGAATCCACCATTCGACTACTGGCGTGAACCACTCGTAACACAAGCAATTTAAGCTTACCACTAGTGGTTACTGGGAATATTAGTAATGTTTTAGCATTGTTAATATTCTTAAAAAAACATAGTACATAGTACATATTAGTATAGTATGCTATACGTAGCTATACTATAGTCAACCCGTAGACAGAGAAACCTATAGACTAATGATTAGCGTGGCCTCGAATGAGAAAGGACGATAACGTAGTTTTAGGTTATACAATAATCTTTATGACTTTTAAACATATTTAGATAAAATTTTAATTGTGAACTGAACTGAACAAGATTCACCAATCTTAACCTCACAAAACACTTTTTTCTCACTTAAACCAACTTGTAAACTCCTTAGATCGCTACGAACTGTCAAAGTTGTTTATCAAAGTGTAGTTTGCTAAACAAAAAAACCAGCACGGAGAAAGGGACAAACAGTTACACCGCTCTGTCTCATTTCTATGCAAGACGTGTGCATAAATCTATCTTTTTCGTGTGCGAATGCGAAAGAAGGCGTCAATTTGTCTATAGGTTCTCAGTCTACGAGTCAACCAAATCTAAGAAATACATTTTGACTGCTGTTAGACTTATTGCACAAAGCATGCCAACCAAAAAATGGCAACGTACAATATTCGATTCTTAAAAAAATCGATATCGATTATTTAGAGTTGGTAATCATTTACAGTTTGGTTTGAATAACACCAGAATAAACTAGAAACAGATAATTTAAAACACAAGATTTATCACTTTTTCCGTATTTGTTGTTACTGCTTAATTCTAGGGGCAAATTTATATAGTATAAAGTTATAAAAATTTAAGATTAAAACTAGGTTAAAAATAAATTTATTCAATCACTTTCAGTACAACTAGTTGAGCTGTCGTTGTTTAGATTAATTAATATTTGATTTTCAATAACGCTGTCAAATGATTTCTTATATTTACGCGAGCACTACACATTGAAATAATACTAGTTTTTACGGAATTTATCGCGTATATTTAACTTTTTAAATACCCAACGTTTCGAACGTTTTACAGCACTCATGGTCACGGGCGGGACTGAGATGTTCAACGTCCATAATATGTCATAGTTAATCGCGGTTAACATAGATTAAAATTTAATTTTTGTTCCGATCTATACAGTATGAGCTTATGGTATCTTGAAGTCTTGCAGTTGTATGCTTGGGTTGGGATTTAATTTTATTTATTATAGGATCCCAAGCAGATGGTAGCACCCAGCCATCTTCTCTATTGAAATTAGGATGTTTTTTGATTTCAATGGCCTTGCGAATCAACCTTGGAAGGAATCGGTGTTCTTTAGCGAGGACTTGTGGTCTATCAAATCTGATGTAGTGACGGGGGCGATCCTGTACGTGTTCATAATCGACGCTCCGGGAAGTCTGCAGTCTGTGAACTACAACTACAATTTGCTAAACAACTTGACAGTTCGTAGCGATCTAAGGAGTTTACAAGGTTTTTGGTTTAAGTGAGAAAAAAAGTGTTCTGTGGGCTGAAGATTGGTGAATCTTGTTCAGTTCAGTTCTAAGAACAATTAAAAATTTTATCTAAATATGTTTGAAAGTCATAAAGATTATTGTATAACCTAAAACTTCGTTACCGTCCTTTCTCACTCGAGGCCTCGCTAATCGTTAGTCTATAGGTTTCTCTTTCTACGGTTGGGAACTTGGCCGTAGACAGATTGTCGCTTCTGTTTTGTCGCTTAAATAATTGTTTGAAGTGGATTTTGATTCGTAAAAGTGATGCAATTTTGTGAATAAGGTGTATGCGCTTGTGAACTATTAGAGAAAACGGCGAAACAAGTGCTTTGATGTCAATATATATCTCAAGTTATTTTGATCGCAAGGGCGCCTCATGAACTTGAGTGGCTGTCGTCAAAATCTCCCAAGGGTTTCGTAAAGTGAAGAAAAATAATATAAAAATGAAGATTCCGAAAGAAATGATAGGCTCAGATGGGCTAGATCCCCCCCGAACGGGTTCCCGCCTTGTCGTGGCGGGGGGGGGGGCTTAGAAGCCGTGGCTTGGTCACCCACGGCGAAACAAAGAGGAACCCATATGGCTGGTCCGAGGTGGAGGGCCGGCCCGAGGTGGCCACTCCGAGTGGGCTTGGGAAGCCCACTTCGGATGTGTGTTGGTGGACTGCGGTGAGAGGTGTGTCCTCCCCACCTACCACTGCAGCCGAGGTGGAGTCGCGGAGGAAGAGGAGTGTTGGTATGGCGATGCGCCACTCGCCCTATCCTCCGTGACTCAAACGGGGCCGCACCGTTGATGCGGTGGTGATGGGGCTGCGGGGGGAGAGGATTGTCGGTATTGCGAGGCGCCGCTCTCCCTATCCTCCGCAGCCGAATCTTGGTTGGCGGCGGAGCCGTAGACCAGATCCCCCGCTGGGGTCGGGAAGGCTAGTACTTCTAAGTGCTCGCTTTTCCTGGCCCCATGGCCTTCGCGCATCGGACGCGGGGGCGTCTGTTGCGCAGATGTAATTGGAGGCCGTGAAGGAAGGCGTGCCATGTGTTCTGGTGCGCCTTACTTGGGAAGGAGAACGGGGAGGAATATTCCTCTCCCGATGAGGTGCTGCCATGGGGCGGCAGTCGCTGGTGGGGCCGCGGAAGTGTGCGAAAGCGTTCCCGTAGCCCTACCAATATGCGACGAAGGTGGAACACTATGGGGTTTTAGTCGGTGCGAGTCCGACATAACCCGTCCTTGCCCCCGCGAGGCGGGTATGCGTAGGCATTTCCCCATGTTAAAAAAAAAAAAAAGATGGGCTAGATCCCAGAGCCGTGAAGCCAGTTAATAAAAAAACTATGTTCATAAACGTCTACGATGGCAGCTGTCACCTGACCGTCATTCCGTCAAACTGCTGTCGTTCTGTCATGTTTATTGAATGAGGTTGCATTTATTGTTGGTAACTTCAATAACGTTACGTTTTAATAAAACTGATCAGACCGTTATTTTAATTTTAAATTCATTTTGTACGTACATTCTCATTGCTAAATGTTGGGTTTATTATATTAAAAAAGTGTGGTAGTTAAAATTAACAATCATCATTTTGTTGCAGTTAACATTACATTAACATTACCAAAATGTCTTCGAACACTGGAAAACTTGTTAAAATGGAAGTAAGTATAAATTAAAAAGAAAATGTGAATGCCGGAACCCCTAGTTTCTCATCGTAAATTATTTCGTCTCCTAGATTAACTAATAAAAGTTAGCACCCTCATATGATTACTGTCCAAAAGATATACCTACTTTATAAACTTATTTAGTACCCGGTTGACCGAGCTTTGCTCGGTATTTTTCGCTCAGTTTTTTTTTTAATTCCTGTGTTTTGGAAATTATATTTAGATACAAATTACATACTGATGAAATACGAATAATATTTTTTGATCTTAGCGATATAATAGAAAAAACTGAACTGGTTATTTGAATAAAAATTCATGAGTGCTATTAGTTTAATTTAAATTTTCGTGTTTTTAAAAAATACTAAAAAGAGGGCTCGAAAAAAATAGATTTTCTCAAAAAAAGAAAGGAACTTGAAAAAAAAAATTAAAAAAAGGCCGGTCGGTTAGTCTGGGCTCGAACCATGGTATTACGACTTTGTGACCGCCCAATATACCAATTAAGCTATTTGTAATCATTAATAAATTGTCAAAATTTACCTTCTTATTCTAACAATATTGTAGCAGTTTTTCATTGCCTAAAAACACAGACAAAAAGACATTTTATAAAAATAAATCCTAGCTAGATCGATTTATTGCCCCCCGAAACTCCCTGCACACAAAATTTTATGAAAATCGTTGGAGCCGTTTCCGAGATTCCGATAAAAGATATATATATATATATATATATATATATATATATATATATATATAATAGGCTAAAAAGGAAAGGCTTGGCTTTGGCTTTAGCAAGGGAATGGGGTGTACAGATCAAGTCTTTTCCATGCGCATGATTGCGGAGAAGTTTTTGGCCAAAAAGCAGAAAGTTTTTTGTGCGTTCATGGACTTGGAAAAGGCTTATGGCAGAGTGGACAGGAATGTGTTATGGCAAACACTGAACTCATATGGGTTGAGCGCTGGTTTGATACAGGCATTAAGGTCTCTTTATAGGGACTCTAGTGCTTGTGTCAGGATTAATGGATCTGGATCTACTCGGACTGGTTTGGCATCCGAAAGGTGTCAGACAGGGCTGTGTAGCTTCCCCTTGGCTGTTCAACCTATTTATGGACAGGTGTTTGCAAACTTTGTAAAGATGAAGAATGTGGGTTAAGAATGGGCGAGTTAACCGTCAAATGCCTTTTGTATGCCGATGATCAAGTCATATTTGCGTCATCGGCGGCTGAGTTGCAAATGATGGTTACATTAATGAACTGGGAATTAAAAGAAAGGAGAATGAAAGTGAACGCAAGTAAGACGAAAGTGATGGTTTTTGAAAGAGAAGAAAGCAAAACGGTATGTGAAATAAGAATAGAAGGAGAGTTACAAGTGGATGAGTTTGTGTATTTGGGATGTGTATTTAGCAGGGATGGTAGATATGATAGGGATATAGAACGACGAGTAAATGCAGGGAATAGAGTGAATGGGGCACTACACTCTATTGTGAATAACCAGAATGTGTCAAAAAAGGCACGTATGGTAATTCATAATGCTGTGTTAGTCCCTACTTTAATGTATGGTAGTGAAAGCTGGGTGTGGCAGAAGAAGCACGAAAGTAGAATAAATGCTGTAGAAATGCGGTCTTTAAGGAGTATGCTAGGGTTGAATCTGAATGACAGGGTGAGAAATTGCGTGATAAGAGATAAATGTGGTATGCAAGATAATGTTGTGACCAGGATTAAGAAAGGAATGCTTCGGTGGTCTGGTCATGTAGAAAGAATGAATGAGGAAAGAGTGACAAAGCAAATTTATATGGCAGATGTGAACGGCCGAGTCGGGAAGGGACGCCCTAGAAAAAAGTTTATCGACCAAATTGGCAATATTTTGAAAAGGGGCCACGTTAGAAGTACCCTTAACCGACGAGCATGTATGCGTAGATATATGGATGTAAAGTTTGGATATATATTTTATAAATGTTCTAAATTTTGTACTTTACAATTTAAATTAAAAGTAACTAATATTAAATTAGTAAAAAAATATATGTTACAGTAAACATTATCTCTGTCAAAACTAATATTGACCCATAAAATCAAACATTTTTGACTAAAGAAGCTTAGGCAAGAGTAGTAATGACTGAAAATATTGGAGTAATTATGACAAAGACTTATTACTTATAGTATAATCGCCGGCACGAGTCGTGAGCACAGATGAACTGTGGTAGGGGTTAAGTTAGCTTACGTACACTGTTGGACAAAATTATTTGGTACCTTTATTATTTCAATTGGTAATTGAATGTTTTCGCCGACATTTTTAGATTATACAATTTGGGCTTAATAATTGTTTCTTCATGCTGTATATCTGTAAGAGATTGCCATAGTGCAATAAGGCCGTCAATTGTATAAACTGCCATTATTATTTTAATTTTACTCCACAATATTTTTTTTGTGTGCTTAATAAATATTTATATTATTATTATTATATCTACCCTTTTCTTCAAACCAATCCAGCATCTCCAACTTCCTTGAATTTATTTAATTAAGAAATAACACAACAACAAGATATAACAAAAACAATTAACAAAAATAAATTAATTAAAAAATTGTCACTAAAATTGCTCTCAAGTGTATGGTACCAACCGAACCCAATAGATGACGACCATCGACTGACGAACTAGTCACGTTGAGCCTGTGCGTGGTCAGCTTCATATCGACCAATAAAAAGTGTGCCGGTAATAATTTTACTTTGTATTATTTACAAGTCTTTGTCATAATTGATTTGTTTATATTTAAAATCAGTTTGACCTTTAGAAAATATTAGTATTTGATATTTTATAATGTATTTAAGAACAAAATAGTTTTTTTGGCTGAACTAGTTTTTCACAAGCTAGCATAACTAAAGTTAAAATATATTCTCTTCCATTTTTTTAAATGGGTTAATGTTGGTTTGTGAAAGTGAAAATAATGTAAAAGTTGTTAGTTGCTTTGATTTGTATGTGTTCTTTGATTTGTGGTTATAAATTAGTTTTAATAATCATTGGTTTTATTAACTGTAATTTTTTATTATTAACTAAAAAATTAATAATTTGTAGTATACCTAGATCTAGATCAATTATTTGTAACAGGCTATCAGCATTACAGTGGTAAATTTAGCAACCAAGCTAATTAAAAAGATACTCTAAATGAAACTAATTTTATATTGAGGTGTTTGGCATCGGTATGTCAAACACCTCAGGGCCCCAATGACCATGGGTGCTATAAAGCACCCAAAGCGCCAGGAAGTTAGTTATTTTATGATGGACTGTTTTCCGCAACTCCACATCTAAGTGATTGGCATTTTGCATGGGGCAACAGTAATGTAATTATTCGAGCCATGAAATCTTCCCAAAGGAGTTCAACAGTCCTTTGATGTTGCAAGCAACTTCGGAGAGTGATCCCTAAATGCCGAGATGTTTAGCCCTGTATGCAGCAACCTCCGGACATTCAGTATCACATAGGCCGCCGTTTCTTCCATTCTTCCAATTAATGCCTGGCTAATGATTAAAGCTAGGGCGGTCATTTGAGCCTCCACTTGCGTAATTGAGCCAACGCAATTTCGCTGTGATGGAGGTTGGCCTGCACTAGGTTAGAGCTGGATGAAGGGTACGCAGTCATTGATCGCGTTCTCCCCGGCCCCGCCCAAAAATAAGTCTGTCAGGAGATCTCGGTTCTCATCATCAGCCACGGTATTCACAATATTCACTGGACCGTATTTGCCCCTGTATCCATGATATCCGGGTTGTTTCCTGCCTTTTTGCTTGGTGGAGTATCAAAGAAGCCAGCACCGAAACAACGAGGAACCATCTGTCCGTCTGCTTATCAGCTTTGTGTTGCTACTCAAAGCTAATAAGCAGACGGACTGGCTGCTGCCGGTCCCTGATGTTTACCTAGCGGTTCTGGTCACCGACAACCAACTCTGGCACCTTTGGCATCAGGGAAGTATTACATAAGGAAGTATACACATTTCATTGGGAATAAAATTACATTTCTCTCTGGACTGGAGCTGTTGGCTGTAAATTTTAATTAACAGTTTTCAAGCGTTATTCAGGATTACATAATAAAAAGAAAATTAAAAAAGTTAAAATTTGTAGCAACAGGAGTTAAAAGATCGTCACAGGATGTAGATTTTCTCGATTTTCTATAGATTCCTGTAATTTATTTATGTTGAAACTGGTATTGGTGAAAAAGAACTATGATATTTTATACACACACACGCGCACACACACACACATGCACGCGTACGTGCGTACAGGCGCACTTTTCTGTTTAAGATCAAAATTATATATTTAAAAACTAAACTTATGTTAATATAATTATAAACCACTGTGTCATGAAAATAAAGATTTTTTGATTTTTATTAACTAATATACCAATTTTGTAAATCTTTTTAGGTGGATTATGAAGAAACGTGCAATGAGAAAATCCCATTATGGAAATCCTGGGCTTCTAATGGAAGAGTTCAAGAAGCAATTGATCAGCTACTAGCTCTTGAGAAACAAACCAGAACAGTAATTTTTTTTGTTACAACTATTTACTTATACAATAGAAATATTTTTATATACTTATGTATATATAAAATATTATATATTTTCATATAATATGGATGAAGGGGTTTGTGAAGTAAAACAAAAAACGCGCGCGGTGGACATATTGTTCCATAACCCTCTCAGAAATGAGAGGAGGCCTGTGTCCTGCAGTAAGATATATATTGGCTGCAACTTTACTTTACTAATTGATAATAGAATGATACGTTACCAACGGGGGTGAAGATTTTATTTAGTTGCAGCGAGTAGATGATTTTTAAAATACATTACACACACACTAGGATTTTCTCATGTATCGTAATGGCAGTTTACAAACAAAAATTGCACAAGGACAAACATCCAGACCTGGAACAATTACTTGTAGGCCATACAAATACTTGTTTCGTGCGGGATTCGAACCTGCGGTCCTATGCGCAGCCACTCATTGCTAAGCCACTGCACCACGGAGCTGTCAGATAGATGATGTTTGATTGACTTTAGGAGTCACTACATATTATAACTTATTAGAAAGGTTTAGTATATGCAAGCACCAATGAATAAAAAAATAAATTAATGTTGTTTAGTATATAAGAGTGGCATATCAGTTATGTTTAGTCCTTCACCTCTTAAAAATATAAGCATTTGTTATATAGTGTAAAAATTGGCTTACAGGGAGCTGACATGGCATCTACTGCCAGGATCTTGGTGGCCATTGTACAAATTTGTTTTGAGGCTAAGAATTGGTCTGCACTTAACGATCACATTGTACTCCTTTCAAAGAGAAGGTATTTAATTTTATATTTATTTGTTTGGCATACACACAGTTTTATGAGTGTAAATGCACTAAATATGTTTTTTTTTTATACCCATAAGGTCGCAGTTAAAGCAAGCTGTTGTTAAAATGGTACAAGAATGTTGTACTTATGTTGATAAGACTCCTGATAAAGAAACAAAGATCAAATTGATTGAAACTCTGAGGTCTATAACTGAGGGAAAAATTTATGTTGAAGTAGAAAGAGCAAGACTAACCAATATTTTAGCTAAAATAAGAGAAGATGATGGCGATGTGGCAGAAGCTGCAAAAATTATCCAAGAGCTTCAAGTGGAGACCTATGGATCGATGGACAAACGTGAGAAAGTAGAATTAATTTTAGAACAAATGAGACTGTGTCTAGCCATCAAAGATTACATCCGTACACAGATTATTTCCAAGAAAATTAACACTAAATTCTTTGAAGAAGACAATGCCCAGGTAATGCAAAATATTCTTTAGCAATCTATAACATTCCACTACTGACCTTTGTTATAGTAGAAGGAATAACATTAATCGCCACGATAGGTAGGAACACCTAAAATAAATGTCTAAAGACAAAAATCATGTACCAGGCATCGCAGCTGCAAGCATACACGTTATGTGGTGGTTCATCACGCGTGCACCATAGAATATAGAAATACTACTGGCGTCCATTATTATACGTGTAGCATGCATGAGCTAACCAGTCAGCTGGGTACATATGAGTCGGCTCGACCGGAGCAGGATCACTTTCTCACAAAATACTCACACATGGTAGAGCCATGCTGCAGCTATATTATGGTTATTGTATGAATGCGTCGACTCGACCGGTGGAGGATCACGCTCAAACAATACCAGCGTAAAATAGCAGTTCAATGCTGCTGTGTTTTGTATGGTGAGTGTAGAGAACCGGAGACCCTTTTTACTGGGAACGAGGCATTCCTTCTTAGTCCTTAAGGCTGGCAATGCATCTGCATTTTAATTCTTAATCGAGGATAAATGTAGATGTCTATAGGCCGCAGCATCCACTTACCATCTGGTGGACTGTGTGCTCGTTTCTCACCCACATTTTATAAAAAAACAGAAAAAGAACAATACCAGCGTGAAACAGCAGAATAAAGCTCCTGTTGTTAATATTACATCTTAGTCTTCAGAAGTGACAATAAATCTGCATATTGATTCTTAATCAATTATAGTTGTACATATCTACTGTCAATAGCAATATTGATTACAGTAGACCTTCGATAATCCAGCCCCTGGCTAATCCGCACCCCCTTGTAATCCGACATGCCTTAAATGAATCCGTTATGGGGAGGGGGGTGTTCTTCGCGAATACGTGGACAAACAGGTTGCATTTATTTCAGGCCATTGTCTCAGTTTAAGTGTGACTATGGGGTTGCAGCCTAACGGACATCCATCTTTCTTTACTTAATTTCACATGGCTTTTTTTTATTGTTTAATATTTGATATGTAATTTGTCGGATTACAAGGTACTCTTTTTCAAAAAGTTCAGGACTACCAGGGAGCTGTGGCAGTACTCTATAGTCTGACAAATTTGATAATCAAAAACCGCCTTGCAAAATGTTTGTCGGATTACCGCGGATCTACTGTATACATAAAGTAGCGGTTTAAATTGGTAAATGTTAACTTAGTAATATTTTGATAAAAGGATAATCCATATACATACACTTTCTGTGTTTTATAATTCGCATAAAATAATGTGATGTAGAATTGTAATATAATTATGATGTATTTTAATTACAGGAATTAAAAGAGAAGTTTTATCGGATAATGATTGCAGTGGACCAACAAAATGGGCAGTATCTATCTGTATGTAGACATTTCCGAGCCCTCGGTGTTGCTGGTGGGCCTGAAGCTCTTATTGGCAGTGTGGTCTTTTTAATATTGGCACCTTATGACAATGAACAAGCTGATCTCACACACAGATTGAATGAAGACAAGGAGTTAGACAAACTACCTGAATACAAGTATGACATTGTTATAAATTTCAAATAGGTATATTTACATATAGAAGATAAGCCGTGGTAGCTCAGATGGTTAAAGCTCGCTGTAAATATAACAGACCGCGAGTAACCCGGGTTCAATCCCCGCCGGCACCAATGAAATTGTTAATTGCAATTTTAAGTGCTGATTTACCACGTGTTTGGAGGTGAAGGAAAACATCGTGAGGAAACCTGCATGTCTGAGGAATAATAAAAAAATGTTTCGAAGACGTGAAGTTCGCCAACACGCATTGGGGTAGCGCGGCGGACACTTCCTTGCCCTAAAACTCTCAGAAATGAAGGGAGGTCTGTGCCCAGCTGTGGGACGTAGTAAAGTAAAGTAAAGTTACAGCCTATATGGCTGTAACTTTACTTTATTACATATAGGAGTATTTCAGTAGATTATCAGTTTTCTACACAATCACCCACCTCACACGATTTTAGGTAATTGGGTGGTAATGCTTGTGCATAGCAGGGGTTGCGTGATATAAATGTTTGACATTACAGAACCCTCATTTACATAGTTTAATTTTTTTTCTAGAAAGACTCAAAATTTTCTAGATGGAAAGATTCAGATCTAAGGTCTTCATTTAGTACGAGGTATTGTAGCTAGTACTTCCTAAAAAATGTTGAGGTTGCTGAAAATGATTATAGTGCTATAGAAAGATGCTTTAAAATCAATTTTTAGAGGTCGCATCACATCAGAGAAAATTATTTTTTAGATTAATTTACTGTTGGTTTAGAAAATACTCCTGTCTTAGCAATAATCATCAAGTAACTCACTGGGGCTACAATTAATTATTCAAATCATATTAGAAATAGCTTGGTCGCGAACATCTTATTTCCAGGGGTTATTATCATTCATGTATTCCTACTTATTTAAATAACAATTTTTATACAATCTTGGTTCAATAATTTTATTGAACTTAGCACATATATTTGCTTAAATAAACAAATTTATTTATGGGGCAATATATATGGAACTGAACTCTTTATTTAATGGAATCGAGTAAATTACAAGTTTGTGTGTATGTGTGTAATGTATATCACTTTCTTCAGTTTTTTAAAACTCCTTTTTGTTTTTATGTACATGCATTATATTTTCATAATTTTTTTTTGTGGCCAAGTTAATATTTTAAAGTCCTTTATTTTTTTCCTCAGAGGTTTAGGTTTGAAATCATAAATAACTGACGCTTTTGACTCTCTTCCCCAAAACAAATATAATTTCAGTGTCAGTCGCGTTTTCCCATAGTAAAATACCATACGACACAATATGTCGTATGACAGGAAGGAGGAAAACGTACATACGTTGTGGAATTAAAAACTAAAATAAATTAGTATAGCTTTTTTAAAGCTTGTGACAGTTTTAATCTTTATAACAGCATACTTTGCAGAACTTACTTTAGTGCTAGTAGTGAAGCTTAACCTAAAGTGATTCCCAGAAAAATTGTGGTATCAACAAGATTCAACGCTTCCCCGTTTTAAGCACATATGTTTAACATTCGGTGTCATGAATGTATGAAACATTTTGTTAGATTGCCATTTGAAACAAAAAATATTTATATTAAATCAATGTACTAATTTAGATATAGCATTGTTCAATTAGTCATATTATACTAATTAAAAAAAATACAAATAAGGCTCTATCATCGTTATTTACTAGTAAGATAATTCATTAATTTAGTCAAGAAACAAAAAAGGGGCGTAGAAATGAGCCCTGAAGAATGCCTATTCGTGCTATCGACTCGGAAGAACTCTCACCGCTTGTAACAACTTTTTGAGTTCTGTTACTTGAATATGAACTAATAAATTTAAAATTAACACTGCTTACATCATAATAGTGTAGTTTCGTGATTAATGTCTCTTGTTGAACAAGCGAAGGTTTTGGATAGGTCATAAAAATATCCAAAGCATCCTGTAAATTCTCCCATGAATTAAAAGAATATTTGAACAGTTCAAAACCAGCACCAACTGTCAATCGATATCTAGTAAAAGTGATTTATTTAAAAGTTTAATTTATTTACACTAAAAAAAAGTTAATATTTGATGTAAAAATTTTTTCATAAATTTTTATAGCTGCTGGCGGTACATAAGGTGAAAGCGCCGGCCGTCCGTCCATACATTTTTTAATCAAAATATACACTAAACACAGACACTCTTTCTTTAAAACCTTTTTTTTCCAACCAATTTTATCACTTCTCTACAATGAAATGTGTACGCGTTTGACCTTTATAGACAATAACTTACATTATATACTGAGAAAAACAATAGTGAAATCCCGAAAAATTTGACATTCCTTTAGTAGTGTGCGTGACTTTTAACAAGCAAACGAAAGGCGACGTTTAAAAACTGGCACGCTAGATGTTTTTTTTTTGCGCCCGAAGCAAATATGGGCAACCCTCCGGAAAGCGGGGGAGGGCGGTTGGGAATGATCATAGCATACCACGCAGCCGGCTGCGTGGTTATGTGGCAGGGGTAGGACAGTTGCCTTGAACCACAAGAATTCAATTGAAGGTAGCGCCATCCATAATTTGTTTCCGAAAACATTATGTTTATTATTGGTCTAAGGTCTTCACAGATGTCGCTACTTTTAAAAAGAAACTAAAATTAACTTAAAAATTAAATTAAATGTAAGATAAATTTATTGGTGATTTTGTTTATAACAAAATCCTGTATATACTTATTATACTCTTTGTTATGTGGTGACTTTTAGAGCTCCCGCAGACATACAATTGTAAGTTGGCCAACTATCGAACGACTAAATTGCGTACTTTTATAATTAAATCGATCAACTTAATTTGATTGGTTGCCAGCCGCAGACTTAATCGATTTAGTCTGTGACAGTGTTGCTAGCGCGGTGCGTGTGCGTAATAATGCGGAAAAAAACCGCTCTAATAGCATTAATAATAATAAGAAGACGAAAAGAAAAGAGGACGTTTTGGGTGCATCCCATATTAAGTGACAGATTAGAATATGGGAAACATCATACTTTGCACTCTAAACTCAGATGTTACCCAGATAATTTTTTTTCCATTGTATAGAATGAGTATTTCGTTTTTGATGAGCTCGTATATCTAATCGGGCCAGCGATAGTCAAACAGGATATTTATATCGGGGCATTGTTTCAAGTCTTTTTTGTATAACGCTGGCCTTTTTTGCACTCTTCTACTTTTTCGTTCGCAACAAGTGATCGGGTGTGAGATGTCGCACCCGTCGGCGAATGTCCAAGTCCGAGCGTAGGGAAATAACGCGCGCGCGTCGGTTCGTCTTGCATCTTGCCGTGCGACTAACCAACAAAGTTGGATAGTCTGCGAGCTTGCATGGCGTACCGTGCTAACGAGCAGTTGGCCGATAGTTGGACAACTTTTTAATTGTGCGTAATCGGAAGGGAATCTTGATTCTGATACGATCGGTGTCCAATTAATTAGTTGGACAATTTAGTTGGACAAGATGTGTGGGCTAGCATATGTCACTGTACCTATTGATATGCTCTCCGATTTAGTTGGCCAACTTATAATTGTAAGTGTGCGGCCTCTCTTACCCACTAAACCCAACCTTTTAGGAACTGGCTTAACGATCTGACTAGAGATCTCTAAGCCATATACGAACGCGACCCTCCTTGGCAGAAAGGAGGGCGCAAGCGGCGAAAAGCCGCTTAGAACGCTAGATGGCATGCGAGTGATCTTAGATAATTCTGATAAATCAATATCTTAAGTTACCGTTACCAACCATTAAAAAAACAGTATAAAATAACATTGGAGGTAGACTGGTAGAGAATGCCTTGTTGCATTAAGTCCGCCTTTTTGTACTCGGTGTGCAAATAAAGCATAAATAAATAAATATAAAATAACATAAAACTAATGACCTTAGAAACCTATGTTTTTTTTGTAAACAATTTTATTACGTATTATTGTTGTGTGGCAACATAAATACCTAAAGTCGTAGGTAGAGCGATGATGCCGTCCTTCCTGACCTAGAATTGACGAAAAAAAAGCGTTGCCAAACTTCGTTCACTTGTTTGACTTGTTATAAAATACATTCTGATTTCGGTTGTCACGCGCTATGTTTTGCGCGCGGAATTTCTTGTGTATTATACATATTTTGTATGCATGTTTTCATGGATTCGAATTGCAATATTTCTCTAGTATATATTTGAGACTATATTGTAATTTATCGTAGATATAGTAATTAATTATTCTAAAAACGCAATTATGTTTTCGGTGGTATTAGAAATAGCAGGCTGGTCCGTGATTTTTCTGAAATATCGTCACAGTACTGATTACCTACGTCATACGTGTCAGTGTATCATATATGATTGTGTTTGAATGTGTTTTTGGTCAACAATAAATACAGTTATTATAAATCGGTAAACTACCAAAGTAGTCACAAAATTAAACTTGCAAACATTTGCTAAATATGGTTTTGCCGGGTTATATTAAACACATTATTAGTTTGTTATATTTTGTAGAGCGTTCACGGTTATGGTGTGTTCAGAAACAAATATAATTCAGTTACATAAAATCCTTTTTTCTGTTCCGTGCTTTAATGTTTATAAATAAATAGCTTATTCTAATCTGAGTTATATTTTTCTTATTCGTCGGCCAATTCTACCAGGAATATAAAGATAACATCGAAATAAAAAGATAAGTAAATTTTTGTACATTTTAGTGTTCTTGATCTTGTGTTCCGAACGCAACCCAATTTATATAGAATTGAAGGAAGATTTGTATACATTATATTGTATATTTATATTTTTGTTTTACTAAAAGCCTTTGTTGAGTGCCTCTAAATTAGGAAATATTATTTTCACCTTCCTGCCTATTATCACAAGATAAATCGTGTTATAGATTTGTTGTTATCTCTTGTTTATGAATTATAGTTTCTTACGTGTGGGTTATGAAATGTCTAATTATTGTAAGAATTGGTACTGTTACAAATCATCAGTGTTATTAGTTTTGAGTGAATATGCATGTATCAGCATAATTATGTTGCTTCAAATAGGTACTTCTGTTTTGATAAAAAATTCTAGTAAAACTGTAATCAGTGTTGAATAGTTTACGCCAACAAATATAACTTTTATTTTTATAACAATCGTACATAGCGTTTTGTAGTTCTGCCTACCCAATCTACACATACAGAAAAATTAAAAACTTGTTTTTTTTACATACACGCCATCTAGTGTTCTAGCTTCGTAAACGTAGGGATACGTCTGTGTGTGTAAACGACACTATATTCAATGACAGATGTTATAATCAAACTTTGTGTCGAATTGGGTGGATTTTGAGGCAATGATAATGACCCATTCCAATAAAATGTAATATCCGATAACCGCAAAGTCCACTCCTACGACTTAATAATTTTCCAATTACACAAAAGCCCAAATAAACTGAAAATGTTGACTTCAGCGCCATCTTGCGCGAGAACGGCTGGGAGCAGACCGTAGGTTTCACCTTAAAGAAACATTATGGCAGTCCTATAGTTCATCAAAAAAAAGGAAGTATTTTACCTATTTTTCTGCAATTGTTTGTAGGCAGTTGCTGGGTCTGTTCATTAACCCCGAAATCATAAGGTGGAACACGCTCTGCACAACTTACGAGAAGATGCTGCGTAAAACTCCTTACTTTGATGCATCTGATGAGAAAGGTCAAGAACGTTGGAATGACCTCAAGAATAGAGTTGTTGAGCATGTAAGTATGGTCCGATATTAAATGCCTTTAAAACACTTCAGGAAAAAGAAAGAGGTTTTTATCAACTAGTGTATAATTAGCTATAAGTACATAACACGATTATCTTTTTAAATGTATAATTGTTGGTGTGTGTGCTTGATCGATCTTCGATCATTTTTTTTTTATAGAAGAGGGGGCAAACGAGCATGCGGCTCACCTGATGTTAAGTGACTACCGCCGCCCATGATCAACCGCAACACCAGGGGAATTGCAGGTGCGTTGAAGGCCCTTTAGAAAGGAGTAAGCTCTTTTCTTGAAGGTCCCCAGGTCGTATCGGTCCGGAAAAATCGCCGGTGGTAAACTATTCCACAGAAAGGTTGTACGCGGAAGAAAACTCCTTTTGAAACGTACAGTGGTAGACCGCCCAGCATCCAGATGATGTGCATGGTATCGGGACGTTTGCCGCGTAGTGCGTTCATGAAATATGGCGGCTGGGATTAATCCGAACAATTCCTCAGAGCACTCTCCATGGTATATGCGAAAGAAAATGCAAAGAGATGCAACATCTCTTCGCAGTGCCAGTGAATAGAGCCGATCGGAAAGCACTCGGTCGTCGACGATTCGAGCCGCTCTGCGCTGGATGCGGTCAAGTGGAAGGAGCTGGCACTGGGGAGCCCCAGCCCAGAGATGGGAACAGTATTCCATGTGCGGCCGAACCTGCGCCTTGTAAAGTTGCAGGCGGTGTGCCGGCATGAAATACTGTCCCGCTTTGCTGAGCACGCCAAGCATTTTAGAGGCCAATTTGGCCTTCCCTTCCAAGTGACCACGAAACTGCACGTCACTCGATATGTCGACGCCGAGGATTCCAATACTGGCTGAGGCAACAAGGGGAGTGCCTTGAAACTGAGGGGATACGACAAAGGGGTTCTTTTTAGCGGTTAACGCGCAAACTTGTGTCTTCTGGGGGTTAAACTGGACTAGATTTAGTCGCCCCCAATCCGAGACTCTGTTCAGCAAAGACTCGACTTCAGACACAAGTTTGTCCCGGCACTCGGAGACGTTTTCCCGAGAAATATTGGCTCGACCGGTGTAAAGAGCATCACCAGTGCTGTCATCTGCATAGCAATGAATGTTACGGGTTTGCAACATATCATTGATATGCAGAAGAAACAGCGTTGGCGATAGCACGCAGCCCTGTGGAACACCAGCATTAATAGGCTTGCAATCGGAGCTTGCACCGTCAACAACGACCTTGATGCTCCGATCTGCAAGAAAGCTGGTGATCCAATCGCACAATTTCTCGGGAAGCCCATAGGAAGGGAGCTTCGAAAGAAGCGCTTTGTGCCAAACCCGATCGAAGGCCTTCGCAATGTCCAAACTAACGGCCAATGCCTCCCCCTTGGACTCTACTGCCTCCGTCCATCTGTGAGTTAGGTAGACCAGAAGATCACCAGCTGACCGACCACGGCGAAAACCTTATTGGCTTTCACTAATCAGCTGGTGATCCTCAAGGTACCTCATGAGCTGGCAGTTTACAATGGACTCCATTGTTTTGGAGAACAAGGAGGTGATGGCGATAGGCCGGTAGTTGGACGGGTCTGAGCGGTCGCCTTTTTTAGGGATCGGGTGGACGAAAGCAGTCTTCCATGATTTTGGGACTACGCCTAGGGAGTAGGAGTACCGGAAAAGACGCGTTAAAACCGGTGCCAACTCTGGAGCACACGTCCTCAGCACAATTGGGGGGGATTCCGTCAGGCCCACTCGACTTGTGAATATCCAGGGAGAGGAGTGCTTTGCGAACCGAGCGCTGTGTGAACTGCACTTCCCGCATGGAGCACTCACACCACGGGATGGTCGGCGGCGTACTCCCCCCCGTCATCGAGAGTCGAGTTAGACGCAAAGAAAGAGCCTAGAAGATCGGCTTTCTCCTTTGCGGTATGGGCCAGTGAGTCGTCCTCCCTGTGCAGAGATGGAAGAGATGGCTGACAGAAATTCCCCTGGACAACCTTGGCGAGGGACCAGAATGCACGGGTTCCAGAAGGAAGGCGAACTAGTTTCTCGCCAATTCTGCCTATGTGCTCTGACTTTGCCTTGGCAATGACTCTTTTGAAGGACCTAGAGGCGGAATTATACTTCTTTTTTTATAGCGCTGGTATTTACATCCCGGGACGCTGACGCGTCAGCCCAGGCCTGGTAGCACTCCTGCTTATAGCATGATGCTATTTTACAGGAGCGACCAAACCATGGCTGAGATTTGCCTCCAATGGGCACCACAGAGGAAGGAATAAAAAGTTCCATACCCTGAAGTACCACATCAGCGACAGAATCCGCAACAACGTTGGGATCGTCCGGCGAGAAGCAAACCCGCCCCCAAGGGTAGGATGCAAAGAAAGACCGCATCCCATCCCAATCGGCTGACCTATAGTGCCAAACACGACGGCAGCCTGCATAATGCAACCGCGATTTCAGCGTGAGTGGCACCACACTCCGGACAAGACAATGGTCCGAGGAGCCTAAAGGGGCGTCGACGGAAATCTGATATCCGTGCGGGTGAGAGGTCAGCAGAAGGTCCAACAGGGAAGGTGCATGATCCTCCACATCTGGAATCCGCGTAGGCGAAGTAACCAGTTGTGTCAGACCATATGCCAAGGCAAAATCATGAACAGATCTCCCCGCATGATCGGTTAAACGTGAACCAAGCCATTCGGCGTGATGGGCGTTAAAGTCGCCGAGGATCACGATCTCTGCGGAGGGGATCTGCTGTAGCAACGAATCTGCAGCCAATTGGACGTGGTCGAAGAGTCGGTCTGTTTCGGCATTACCGCTATGGGACCTATAGGGGCACCCGTAGACGCGCGGATGGTCGTCGCTGTCTACGCGTAGCCAAAGGATGGACAGGTCCGAACCTTCAAGTCTGCCGAGGCGTCGAGAACAGATGTCCTCTCTGACGTAAACGCAAACTCCAGCCCGAGGCACAAAGGAGTGTTCCAGTTTGTACCCCAGATAGGATAGATACGAAACATCAGCCGGAGAGGACACCTGCGTCTCGGTCAGAAAGAGCAGAGCCGGCCTCGCCGTCTCGAGATGGTAGTGGACGGCGTTTAGGTTAGAGTGAAGTCCCCTGATATTGCAGAAATTCACGGACAGCGTGGCAGGGGTCGGGGCTTGGTCTTGTTGCTCCGTTTGCCCCGAGCAGTTGTCTTGAGCGGAATTTTGCCCCCCCCCCCCCAGAATACGCGGGGCAGCCTGAGCACCCATGCTCAGAATTGGAGAAACATGGTCGTGAATGCTCAGCGAGGGATTCTCCAGGGGTGCTGGTACCCTCCTGAGGTAGTCTATCATTTAATTCCGCTACCATGTTGATGGGGGGGGGGGGATTTGGGCCGCGTGATGATCGTGTAACTTTAATTGACTTCACTGTATCAAATCTATTTATATAAAATCTATTTATATAAATTAAATCAATTTTGTAGTGGTGTGTGATTTGACAGGTTTTAGATAATTCTACAGGAAATAAATTTAGTTGTCCTACGATCCACCTACCTACAAAATGTTCACTATTGAATAATGGCTTCCCCCACTGATTGCATATCGGCGATATTTTGATGTGGTAGAGCCAAGCTGCAGCTATATTATGGTTGTAGCACGAATGGGTTGGCTCGATTGGGGTAGGACCACGCTCTCACAGAATACCAGCGTAAAATAGCAGCTTAATTTTGCTTTGTTATGTACAGTGAGTGTAGAGAACCGAAGACCTTTTTTATTGGAAACGAGGCATTCCATCTTAGTCCTCACGGGTGACAATGCATCTGTCACCCGTCATAAGTATTGTAAAAATTTCATTATAAAGGTAGAATAAAGAAAATAAAATAATTAGATCAAAATTAAATTTTTATAAAAGAAATTAAAAGTCATTGATTTAATTATATATTTAATTAATGTCATATAATTTAAGAAATTCCTCTAAAAAAAATTGCATTGCTAATACTTTTAAAACCAATAACAATACTTTTAAAAAAAATAACAAGTATCAACTTTTTTACTTGACGTCGTTTCAATGATATATCGTTATGTACATTGCCATAGCGTTTGGATGATTAAAATTCATTGTTATGTGAATAATCGACAAAAATATTTAAATAATTGGTAAAAATATTCAAATAATCGAATCATTAATTTTTTAATGTATGATTTGTTTAATTAAATTTTATAATTAAAATTTCTTAAACTACATGAATCATGAATAAAATAAGTTTATTTTTTACATTGCCAACGTAAATTTGTGTAGGCAAAAAACTCACATACAAGGCCGCGCTTTAAAAAATTACTACGTGATTTCAATATCCCGCCATTTCGGGATGTGCGTAATTTTGTGGTTTTGTGTGTTGTCTTCTTATTTTGTGACTCGGCTTTAACTTTATGGGCTGTTTCTTCTATATTGATTTTTTTTGATTGATTGGGCAAAAGTGGTAAAAAAATATTGATTATGAATGATTATTTCTTAAATTTACGCGAACACTACACATTCAATAAAACTAAATTTACGGATTCTATCGCGTTTATTTAACTGATTTTACTTATTTTTTTGCAAAAGAACACCGATTCCTACCAAGGATGATACGCGAGGCTATTGAAATTAAAAAAACATCCTAATTTCAATAGAGAAGATGATTGGGTGCTGCCATCTGCTTGGGATCCTATAATTAACAAAATTAAACCCAAACCCAAGCATACCACTGCAAGACTTCAAGATACTGTAAGTTCGTTTTGACCAAAAATTAATATTCAAAAACTGAAGGTAGCCGGGCTAACAATGACATTGGGACGTCAAACATCTCAGTCCCCCCCGTGACCATGGTTTCTGTAAAGCACCCGAAACGTCGGGAATTAAAAATAAGTAAAATCAGTTAAATAAACGCGATAGAATCCGTAAATTTAGTTTTATTCGATTATGAATGACTTTGAAAGAGATATTAATTTTGACTGCATTATTGAAAATCAAATATTAATTAATCTAAACAACGACAGCTCAACTTTTTGTACTGAAAGTGATTGAATAAATTTATTTTTAATCTAGTTTCAATCTAAAAATGTTATAACTTTACCTCTAGAAATAAGCAGTAACAACAAATACGAAGAAACTGATAAATCTTGTATTTTAAATTTTCCGTTTCTAATTGATTCTGTTATTATTCAAACCAAACTGTAAATGATTACCAACTCTAAATAATAAATATCGATTTTTTTTAAGAATCGAATATTGTACTTTCCCATTTTCTGGTTGGCATGCTTGGTGCAATAAGTCTGACAGCTGTCAAAATGTATTTCTTAGATTTGGTTGACTATAGGCCTAATAGTGAAGCGTTATGGTAAAGAAATTAGCCTAATGGTAAATACTGCAAAACAAAGTCGTGGATTCGAATCCGCTACTCAATTACTGTCGTAGATCGCTCCTATCACAATAGTGATTAGCGGGAATACTAGTAATGTAGTTTTTTTCCTACAGTAAATGGAAAAAAAATTAAATCTCCAGAATAATTTCATACAAACACTAAGCTCTTTGTATGATTTGCAGAATATCCGCATTATGTCGATATACTACACGCGCATAACACTGCAGCGTATGAGCGAACTGCTCGGCCTAAGTGTGACAGAGACGGAGGAGGCCTTGAGCCAGTTGGTCGTCAGTGCAGTCGTGCGGGCTAAGATCGACCGTCCAGCCGGCGTTGTACACTTTAGGTAAGTTTTATGAATTTATTTATTGTCTGTTTTACTGGGCAACAGTTACAACTGCAGTGGTGTAATGGCGACACGAAACTATACATCCTCCAAATACAGACAAATTACAGGCATCTCATATAAAATGACAGGGGCTCTACGATCGCTAATCTACCTGGTAAATGTAAGGTAAATGATGGCAGTTAATCCCTTCTAGACACTGGCTTCAAAAACTAAAAAGAATAAAATAATTTCCATATTATAGTTACAAAAGTCTATGCTAGTATGCATCAAGGATTTAAAGCTTCAACTTTTTTCGGTTTTTAATTTTTTGAATATTTTTTTAATGTAAAATTGTTCTTTTATTTATTATTTTTCTTCTGTAAATTAAGAAGAAATAAAATAACTTTATCCGTTTTGTAATAATTCCGTATATCGCTTAATCATTACAATTTACATTACAGTTTTTTATAAAAGTTTCTATATACATTATAATTGACCTTATATCTTTTATGGCAAACTAAAGATCTTTATGTATATATCAGAGGATTTCATGTATAGCTCAAAGTTCTTTGGGGAAATTTCATGGCTCGAATAACCATGTTTCGTATGGTGAGTGTAGAGAACCGGAGACCCTTTTTACTGGAGACGAGGCATTCCATCTTAGTCCTCACGGGTGACAACGCAAACGAGGGTAGATGTAGACGTCTATGAGCCACAGTAACCACTTACCATCAGGTGGACTGTGTGCTTGTGTGTCTCCCTCATTTTATAAAAAAATATCGAAGCGGCATATTATGAATTTTATTAGAAGATTACATAAAAAGCTATTTACAAAAAGCATATCTCTTGATTTCCAAAATGAAAAATCTAGGTAGTTACCCACTCCCTAAACACCAAAACTAAAATAATTAAAAAAAAGAATTAACTAAAAATTGAGTTTTGTTTTAATTTCGTAGTTGAATGTTAATTTTAAAATTTTATCGTTGTTTTTCACTCTTAAAAAAAGTCTGACTGTATAGTCGGTTTGCTTAGATTGTGTCGGTACACCCAGAAGCGCACTTATTAGTTTACTTTTATTTTTTATTGTTTATTCTAAATATTATTTTATTCTTAGATTAGAAATATTTGTATTCGTATTTTATACAATAACCATAAGAATGAAATCGTAATCCATTTTATTCTTATAGTTACCTACTGTATAAAATACGAATATAAATGATGAACTCAAGTTAAGTAGCGAAGAACCTTTCACTACGGCGGCGCTTTGTTTTAAAATGTCAAATTCACTTGCGGGTGTATGCCGCACGCGGCAACTTTGATGTATATATATACAAGGATTGCTCTTGAGATGCTATTGAGCCATCCATCGAGAGCGAGAGGTTTTAGCCTTTTCTATAATTGCCTCTTTATAACACACACGCAGGTCGAATTTGTTTTTTTTTACACCGCTGTCACTCGTCAATACTAACAAAATTTAATCTTTTTATTTATTTATTTCCACCAAACATATACATTAAGAGAGCAACAAAGAATATGTTTGTGCTTACATAATATGAAACGGTACTATTGTTAAGTGAAAACCTGGTGCCTAAGCTATATAAGTAAAACCCGTATCTTAGGTCACCAGGTCCCCAACTGTAGATCTCCATGGACTAAGTAGATATATGAAGCTACAATAAATGATTTCCTTCGCAATTGAAAAATTATACAAGATACACTTATATTTTAATTAAAAAGTAAAAAACAAAAATAAATAGAAAGAAAATAATCTCTCTTTAAATAGCAAACATAGCCAAAAGTTGAATATTTATAACATCGGCAGGTACTATAATATTTTACTTGTTAATATTAGGGGTTAGGATGCACATACTTGTAATAAATAAAGGTACTTAAGTAAATAGAGTTAATTTCAATATACATAGATATATTATTATGTTATATACACATATATGTAGGTACTTTATAAATCACCACATAATTATATTTAGTTTATACTGTGTACTTATTATATATTATCGCCTCCTTGATTGTATGAACTATTCAATATGTTTATCACATCTTATTCAGAGCGGAGACTTTATTTAATTTTATTTCTTTCTACGTTTTTTTAGCCTTAACATGGACGCGTCGGATCGCCTCAATGAATGGTCGAACAACCTCAACACTTTGATGCAGCTTGTCAACAAAACTACTCATCTTATAAACAAAGAGGAGTGCGTACACAAGCATCTGTTGGTCACTGCTGAATAGACAACAGTCATAGTGAAGGACAATTTATCGTTTATTGTCATTTCTGTTCTTCTGTGCTTTAATTTAATGTACTAAGTTTACTAATAAAAATTACTTAATTACTGGGATTTTTTAATAACAACTTTTTAGACATTTTAATGGTTATTATTACAACATGAACTATTGATCTGAGACGTGGTCCTTCACTGCTGCCCGTATGAGGAAGCTTAAGATTGCAGCGAGCTAAAGAGAAGGCTATGCTCGGGGTTTCTCTGCGTGATACTTAAAAACGGGGATATCCGCAGTAGAACCAGAGAGACGGACATGCCCAAAGGATTAGAAAGCTGTAGTGGCAATGGGCCGGCCATATAGCTCGAAGAACCGACAACGGATGGGGAAGAAAGGTTCGTGAGTGGCAGCTTCGTACCGGTAGGTGAAGTGTAGGGGCCCCTACACTAGATGCAGTGATGATCTAGTAAGACATGCAGGAATTCGATGGATGCAGGTGGCTCAGGATCGTGCTTTGTGGCATTCCTTTGGTCTACGGTCAGCAGTGGACTTGTGAAGGGCTGTAATGATGATTATTACATTTTATGACAGCAATGAAATACAAGGTGGCCCATAAGTCGTTAGAAATGTAAATTTCGAATAAAATACAAAAGGCGCGCATGAGTGGCGCGCGCGGTACGGGGGGAGTACCGACGGTTTCTGGGAATTCAGTCGTCATGGAGCGTTTCACCGGTGCGGACCGTGCATTTTGTGTGCGCGGGTTTTATCGAAACAATGATTCGGGTACCATTGCGCGGCGTAAATTTCGAGAATATCAGAATTTACGCAACTTTAAAGACATTCCAAGTGTTCAAACGATTAAGAACTGGGTTATTAAGTTCGAAGAGAGTAGTTCGACGTTGGATAAACAACGGTCAGGTCGACCAAGCACATCACGGACGGAAGAAAACATCGATGTAGTGAAACACTCAATTCGTGAAAATCCTACCCAGTCTACTCGTAAGCGTTCCAGTGCATTAAACTTACCCAGAACATCGTTACAGCGAATTTTAAAGAAAGATTTACATCTTCACCCGTACAAGATTCAGATAGTACAGGAATTAAAAGATACTGACACTATTCACAGACTAAATTTCGTAAATGAAATGTTGAACCGCTTTACTTCGTTTAATAATGTGTTATTCTCTGATGAGGCTCACTTTCACATCAACGGCCACGTCAATAAGCAAAATTGTCGCTACTGGAGTTGCGAAAATCCAAATCGCAAGCATCAAAAGCCCTTACATAGCCCTAAAGTGACAGTTTGGGCGGCTATGTCAGCGCATGGCATTATAGGCCCTTACTTTTTTGAGGACGGCAGAGGCCGCGCGCTTACTGTTACTTCACAACGGTATGTAGCTATGATCCAGGACTATTTTACACCAGAGTTGCAGAATTTTCCAGGCTTCAATACGCGGACCTGGTTTCAACAAGATGGAGCAACTGCCCATACCTCTAACGTCGCTATGCCGGTCGTCCGTCAACTTTTCCCTAATAAAGTGATCTCTCGAAGAGGAGATATTCCTTGGCCACCACGTAGTCCAGATCTGACCCCAATGGACTTTTTCTTATGGGGTTATCTTAAGACTAAAGTGTACGAAACCAACCCGCGGACAATTGACGTCCTGAAAGAAAATATCCAAAGAGAAATGGCAAACATTACAGAGCTTACTTGCCGCGCAGTGATGGATAATTTTAAACGTCGCTTACAGGAGTGCCGCGATCGTAACGGATTACATTTAGATGATGTAATTTTCAAAAAATAATTTCCATTTTATAAGGATTATGACAAAATAAAAACTTTTTTCATAATGTCATTAGTTTTTTTAAATTATTTTTTTACATTTCAAGGGACTTATGGGCCACCCGGTATTACATCATTTAGACAATAAAATAATGCTTATTAAAAGACGTTTAAGCTTTGATTATCACGGGTTACGTAAGAAGTTCCCTAAAATAAGTATTGGGAAGAAACAGCAAACATTAAATTTGCTTTTTTCAAGTAATAGTAAAATGTATGATTTACTATTACTTGGAAAAAAGCAAATTAAACTTTTGATATGACCACGTCACGTGGAAGTCGTATGAGGCGATAGAGGTATATGAAACAGGTGAGAGACCGCAACACTTCCCGATAACAACTCGATAAAGAACTGCTTACCAAGCCGCTTGCCATGCGTGGTTGCTATGGTAAGTCCTTACTATGGGGCATTTTATAGGGAGCACCTGTATTCAGCAATGGGCTTAAGATGAGAAGAATAAGATACTTTAATAAACGAATGCATGTTGCACATAGTTATAAAACTATTTCAGAAACAGCTCGGTGACGATCATTTAATTCCCAGAAATTATTTACCTATCAAGAAAGTCCGCCGTAACGTAGGATGGAAACATGCAAAGTAATACGGACACTCGCGCGCAACGATAAAGTTTTATTTAGCTTGCAAGCGCGATTTATCTAATTATTAATAATAATTATGTAGGCTATTAAACGTCGGCAAAGAATATATACACTACGCGAAGTCGGCAAGCAGTCAGCATCAAAGTACTGCAATTTCTATACGTGGTACTATTATTTATTCTGTGATATCATTCTTTTGTATTCTTTAATATTATAACTATATTTATAAAGCTTATCTTGACATACTTTGTATATTTACTTTTTTTACGGTACAAGGGTGATAAACGAGCACACAGTCCGCCTGATGGTAAGTGGATGCTGTGGCCCATAGACATAGAATAAAAACGCAGATGCGTTGTTGCCCCTGAGGACTAATATGCAATGGATCGTTTCCAGTAAAAAAGGGACTCTGGATCGTTACACTCACCATACGAAACACAGTATTAAGCTGCTATGTTTGTAAAAGCATCTACGAGTATATTGCTCCATGTACGAATTACTGGCGTTACGGAATCGCGTAGCTAATAATAAAATATATATTAAAGGTTAAAATAGTATAGTGAAGTTTTATGGGGTTTAGGCTATAGACTACTGCAAAAGGGACGACACCTCTGGCTCGTGCAAATACTATATATTTTAATTTCAATATCGAATAATCATAGCATTCATCATAGTCCTCATGGGTAAGGTGCAGAAGCCACTTAGCGCCACTGAACTGTGCCCTTGTTAATTATGTAAATATTTTTGTCGCCATTGCTATTTGGTGGATCTCTGTTAGGTCATCGGACTAACAGCTCCTATTACTCCATGTAGAACTCTTTTTGTCAGGCGTCAATTTCAAGCCCGCTCTGCCTATCTCTATAATAAGCTTCACAATAAATATTCAATATATGACCTTCAACTATATGAATGTAGAAAAAAAAACAATAATGATTTCTTATATGTACGCGAACACTACACATTGAAATAATACTAGTTTTTACGGATTTTATCGCGTATATTTAACGTGTATATTTAACGCTCGAAACGTCGGGTATTTATAGTTAAATATACGCGAAAAAATCCGTAAAAACTAGTATTATTTCAAAAAAAAAAAACAATAGTTGGCTCGAGACGCTGGGATACCATGACGTGGAGGATTTCTTATTTTAAGTAGGAATCGTAGACAATACAAATTTAATGATTTATCGATACACATGCAGTCATTCTCAGAAACATGCACACACTGTCTCTCTCTCTCACACACACACACACACACACACACACACACGCACGCACGCACGCACGCACGCACGCACGCACGCATGCACACACGCACACACGCACAGACGCACAGACGCACAGACGCACAGACGCACATACGCACCGACGCACAGACACACAGACACACACACACACACACACACAAACACACACATAGACACACACAGACACACACAGACACACACACACACACACACACACACAGACACACACACAGACACACACACAGACACACACACAGGCACACACACAGACACAGACACACACACAGACACTCACACAGACACACACACAGACACACACTGACACACACACAGACACATACAGACACTCACAGACACACACAGACACACAGACACACAAACAGACACACACACACACACACACAGACACACACAGACACACGCACACAGACACACACACAGACACACACACAGACACACACACAGACACACACAGACACACAGACACACACACACAGACACACACATACGCACAGACACACACACACACACACACAGACAGACACACACAGACACACACACACACACACACACACACACACAGACACACACACACAGACACACACACAGACACACACACAGACACACACACAGACACACACACAGACACACACACATAGACACACACACAGACACACACACAGACACACACACACAGACACACACACAGACACACACACAGTAACACACAGACACACACAGACACACACAGACACACACAGACACACAGACAGACACACAGACAGACACACAGACAGACACAAAGAAACACACGGACACACAGACACACAGACACACACAGACACACACAGACACACACAGACACACAGACACACACAGACACACACAGACACACATACACACAGACACACACACAGACACACACACAGACACACACATAGACACACACAGACACACACAGACACACACACAGACACACACACACACAGACACACACACAGACACACACACAGACACACACACAGGCACACACACAGACACACACACAGACACACACACAGACACACACACACACACACACACACAGAGACACACACACAGACACACACACAGACACACACACACACACACACACAGACACACAGACACACACACAGACACACACACACAGACACACACACAGGCACACACACACACAGAGCCACACACACACAGACACACACACAGACACACACACACACAGACACACACACAGACACACACACAGACACACACACACAGACACACACACAGACACACACAGACACACACACAGACACACACAC